GCAAGGTGCTAGTTATTTGCCCATGACCAATCTCTTTAAAAACAAAGAGCTGGAATTCAAATATTATATATACAGGTAGCGCTAACGCCTGCATGTTTGCAAAGGTCTGGCAAATCAGCCAGAATGTCAAGAGCTACATTTTCCTGTGTACTAAAAAATTAGCATAATTTTCTAGCAGCAGAGCTCCAAAAGATCTACTGTACAAATATTGAAGTCAAACATCCAGACTATGGGAAGATTTCAAAATACATGTAACCTTTAATAATCTAAATCATCCAGATGGTAAAATAACAAAGCCACCAAGAGAAGTGTGCGTGATTGCTAGCATCTGTGGCAAAGGAAGAAAAGCATGTTCCTAATATGCTTCTTTTGACTCACCATGAACAATGAGTGAGTAAAAGTGTTCTCTGAGCTTTGGAACTCTAATCAATAGCAAACTGACAGGCAAAGATACTAGCAAAGACACTCCAGTCTCAGAATCAAATGTGGGTTTGTGCCTTGGACAAAGAATGTAGCATCTCTGTGAACAAAAAACTAAGCAGATTCAATCCTGCTGGGTATCAACACAAAGCTGCCTTCTTGCTTTTTTTAAATTCTCCATACACTAGCTCTGCTTTCTCCCTCTACTTGTTACAGAATTAGATTTTATTATCTGAACTTCCACTTTTAATTCTCTCCATCAGAAATGACTGCAAGGAACTGTTCTAACACTGCCCAGCCTTTGTCATCTACTTTCTCTCAGATATTGCCATGTCCCTGCTAAATGACTTGTCTTTCAGCTCCAGAATTAATGTATTCCTACTTCACAATAGGCAAGAATGATTTTCTGACCATTTTGTGAATTAAAGCACTACCTGTAAATAATACTCAGAGATCATTCTCCTATCACAGCCACTTGCCTTCATTCTGTGTGTTGCAGCATTGCAACTCTAGTCTAAGATGCAAATTCATGCATTAATTTTCAGCCATTCATTTTGTGACTTCTTAACTACAGCGAGACTGAACACAGCTGTGTTTGCAGGAAGATGTAGAAGCACTATAGCATCCTAAGTCTTCCTGTCTCCTTTGCATCAATGAAATCCTGCAACAGTCCCAGAAGTCTCATGACTTATTGTGGGTGGCAGTGGCCACAGGAGAGCACAGCAAGGCATCAGCTAGCCCAAAGGCTTATCGGCCATACCTTCTCGTACCTGTGCAGTCTATTTTTCATACTGTAGTAACAATATTTGAGGATTGCAGAGCATGTTTACACATGCATCACAGTACTGCACGGTTCGGCTGAGCACTGTTCGGTTGGAGGAGATACTGTTAACCAACCCAAACTACTTCAAACAACACAACCAGTATAAAATAACCTTGCAAACAAGGTTATAAACTTGCCTAAAAGAACTGGATAATAGAAAAGTTTCAGATATTTACTGTCAAATGTAAACTCATAATTAAATACAAAGTAAGGTTTAAATCTCTTCTACTTGAGTAGTAACTTGAGTGTGGTACACAGTATTGAGGAACAAAAGCTGGTTTGTTGTGGGGCTTTTTCTATGTGGGGCTTTCTCTATGGTAATGCAAACATGATACTCTGAATTAATATAATGAAATATTTTAATAGCTAAAGTGAAATGTACCTCTAAACCCACAAGAAATAACATAAAGATTTCATTCCAATGGAAAGTAAATTTATCAAAGATTTCATTAACAAAGATTTGTTTCATTTGATTGTTTATAATTGCCTGAGTTACCGGTCTAAACTCAGGTCTGCTACCCCAGTGTAAATTAGTGGTATATTAACTGAGGTTTTTAGATTTACTCCAGGTACAATTAGTTCTGGCGTAAATGAGAATTTGGCATTTTTTTTGCTTGAAAGAGACAATTTTATGGAAGAGAAATGTAGTTAGACAATGGGTAGCTTATGTGTTACATATTTTAATTAGTAGTTTTGTGATCATCATTTCCCAGTTGTATAAATATCAGACGTGTGGGAAACGCACTTATGGGAAAAGACAGCCATTGAAAAGTAGGATTTAGCTAGCACTGGAAAGGTTTACAGGCTCATAAATACAGCTTCTAAATAGTCATGGCAGTACGTATCTAACAACAGTACAGAATCAACCGACAGTTTTAATATCATTAAGTGACTCATGTGAAACAGAAGAACATGTGAGACACTCTGAGTTCTTTTAAGAGAATCAGCAAGTAGCTTCTCCCTCTTAGCGGAGCAAATGAAAAATCAGAGACCTGAATGACCACCCTCTCACAGCAACAACTCTCGCACTTGTGTCATGGGCAGAAGGCAACCAACAGGTATTTGGACTTTTCCTAAAGCTTCACCGACCTATTACCTTTATCATTCCTTTTCTCTGTTATATATGGACACCCATGTAAACTCTGCAAAAGGACTCAATGTCATAGAAGATGCATGAAAAACAGTATGTAGCTCCAGATTTTGTGGACAACAGCCACCCACAAAAGACTGTGATTTGTTGGTCTCCACTATATTGATTCTATTTCCTGATCATTTTGACCCAATCACCATTTTAATCTTTATTTTGTCATTTAAAACAAAACAAAAACTGGCAAGCAGATTTGTACACAAAGGAGAAAAAAATGCTATTTAAAAAAAAAAAAAAATCTAAGTAGCATGGCATGAAAACCTACTCCAGGGGAACTGCAGGAAGCCTTTTGCTGGGCAAGAATCTACCAAACATTTCAGTGGGCAGATCCCACTCTTAAAGCATATCTTTGTTCCACATCTTCTTAATTAAAATCTTAATTAGACAAACAAAATTCAGAAATCTTCTAGCCACCTTTGAGTTTGCTCTGTATTTTCCTTATCCATGTCCATTTCAGTAATTACTGAATGCTACATCTGCTTGAAGAGAGGTAATGACAACTTGTATAAGGTATTATTTTGTCAAGGTTTTTTTTTTTTTGACAACCAGAGCCTTGTCCAGGAATGTTTTGAGTATTTCCAAGGTGACTCCACAAACTCTCTGAGCAAACTGTTTCAGTCTTTGACCACCCTCACAGTGAAAAAGGTTTTTCTTATGTTTAAATGGAATTTCCTGTGTTTCAGTTTGTGCCCATTCCCCCCCCATCCTGTCAATGGGTACCAGCAACAAGAGTCTGGCTTTTTGTTTACTCTGTCCCATCAGGTATTTACATACATTGGTAAGGTCCTGCTGGAGCCTTCTCTTCTTCAGGTTGAACAACCTCAGCTCTCTGCCTTTCCTCATCTGCCAGAATTCCTCACACAACCCTTAATGTGTGCCTTAGGGGTATGGTTAACACAGAAAATCAACTTCAGTACGACTTTCTCTTTTGAATATTTAAAGGGTATCAGAGAAAACTAACCTGAAATAATGTACACTTAGAGACACTTCTGTGTAGTAAGTAAAGGAATACTGGTGTCACTGAAAGAATAATCAGGTGAGAAGATGAAGTATCTTACCAAGATAATGCCTAGCTAGTGTGCTTGGAGCTTTCTTTCAGGGGTCCATTTGCCACTTCTGTCCATTCTTGATGCCATGTCCTCTGTGACCTAATGCCAGTTCTGCCACTATTAGTCAGTCTTTTCAACTGTTTGCTAACAGAAATACCTTTCCAATGCTACTTCAGACAAATTATTTGCTTCCATTTATCTTAGTAGGATTTCCCTGTGTCCTTTGTTCTCCCATTGTCATTCCCAGTATTCAGGAGCTAATCCTGAACTTTGTGAAACCTCACTTAGTGTGGTTCATTTAATTGCCAGAAGATCAACAAGCTCTGGGCAACAACTTGTACCTATTTGTTGCTCCTGACTCATGCAATCATTCAAATGCTGAACTGGAAGAGACTTCCCAAGATAGTCTGGTCAGCCCTTCTTCATGGAAAGAAGTTAAATTCCAACAGATGTTGGTCCATTTGTGGCAATGAACTGAATTTGGGAGAAAACGCAGTTTAAAAATACTCCCCTCGCCCCTCTTCATGATCTCTGTCTTTTCTATCAGGCAGTATTTTTACACGGATTAGTTGACAATACAGTTCATTGCATAGTCATACAGTTTTAAGAGCACAGCCACAGCAGCGCTATAGGGGCAAAACTCCTTCATCTGGCAGTCCTGGTGAGAGAAACATCGATGAAATGACCCCTAAACGAAATCCAGTTTCCTCACCACATTCTGAGGGGTCACATTTTTTATAAACATCAGTTCCTGTGCAATGAAGGACAACCGGAAAACTGTAGTTGAGAGCTGTATGTATAAACACCTCCTGCCCTACCCTGGATGACCTGAGCTGCTGCTAGCAGTTTTCTGACTAGCACAAACTCATCCCTGTTGGTAGCCAGGCCTGTGGAAAGGACTGAGCCGCTGTCACAGCAAAGTACAGCTTTTTCTAGGACTTTGCGGTTTTCTCTTTCCAGGGCCCGTGTAGTGGCCCCTGAACAAACACTGAGGTGAAACATTAGCTGCTAAAATTCGACGATCTTGATCCTTCCCACAGTTAGCGAGGCGGACTGCTGTCCCCGGTGGTTTCCGAGCGCCTTCTGAGGTAAGTGCCCGACCGGCGCCCCGTGCCTGCGCTGGCAGCAGAGCTGCGGACTCTCCGCGGCCCCGCGGCACCGCCCGTCCCCTCACAGGCGCCGCTGCCGCCCCGCGCGCCGCTGCCGCCCCGCGCGCGCCCCGTCTCCAGCCGCCAATGAGCTGCGCACACGCAGCGTCGGCCCCCGGGAGGCCTCCCCGGCAGCTGCCTGATCCGGAGAACATGGATCAGGAGGCCGGTGCCGCCGTTCCTTTGCTCCGCAGACCAGTTGTGGCGCGTTCTGACGCATCGCGGGGGTCCTGGAGCCCGCCGAGAGCCCCTCGGACAGCAAACTGGTCGGGCACCTCCGCAGGCGGGAGGCGAGGGGCCTCGCCCTCAGGACCCTTTGCTGCGGTGCATGCTGGGAATTGTAGTCCAGAGGGCGCCGAAGCCTAGCGGCTGTGAGCGGGGCGGGGGAGGAGGGAGACTACAAGTCCCGGGGAGCGGAGGGGCTGGCTGTGCCGCCGTTCCCCGTGGCCGGCTGCCGTCGCGGGTAGCGGTCCGCGTGTCTGCTGCCGCGCCGTCCTGAGGAGCCGCCCGCCGCCGGCCGGCCGCGGCCCTTCCCGGGGGCTCCGCCATGGATCTCTTCGGGGACCTGCGGCGCATGAACAAGCGGCAGGTAGCGGCCGGTGCCGGGCGGGGAGCCCGGGGGCGCGCAGGCGGAGGGACGGGTCGGGATGCGGGGGCCGCCCGGAGGTCCTGGGGCCGCCCGGAGGTCCTGGGGCCGGGGCGGGCCGAGGGGCCGGGGCCGTGCGCGTGGGCTCGCGTGGAAAGCTGAGAAACCGTGGTTTTACGTTTCTGTCGGTAGTCAGCTTCCTTGTAGGGCCCGGCGTGTGCAAGCAGGTGGGTGTTCTGAACTCCCGTATTTCAAAATCGGTGTCTTTATCTTTACTGCGTGACTATGCAAAAAACTGGTTGGGAGGGAGAATATAAGACTGGTGACAAACCTTCCGATTTCCAGGCTGTGAAAGTTTCTTGGTTTGGTTTGTTTTTATTTCGTATCTATCGATCATTAAAAAATCCCAAAACCAAAAAACTGCAGAGCAAATTTTGAAGCTTGACCAATGCTAAGTTAGGTGGGTCATTTACCTGAAAATCCCAGCATACATATTTTCAAACTAGAATGATGGTGTGGGAATTTCCAGTTCCATATTTTACATCTCAGAGCCACGTGATAAATAGAGACGGGCGGGGTCGTTTTCCACCGCAGTATCTTCATATGTTGCCAAGTAAAAAAAAAAAAAAAAACGGAAGCAGTGTGAAGAAAGTGTGTCCACTGCTGTAACGGCTGACGAAGCAGTAGAATTTGGGGGCAGAAAGTTAGTCAAATCAATGAATGATTTTCAACATAAGAAATCTCTGTCTGACAATAGCAGGCAATGATCCTTTGTTCTCTCCCTTCTACTCCCACAGCTCTTCTTTTTAAACAAAAATAACTGTTAAGGGTACAAAGTCTTCTATTACTGATTTTACAGTGTTTATTATGTGTGCTTTAAATACTCACAAGCTCAGGTAGTCATCAGGGACGTGATCAAAATAAAATTGATCATTTGCCATATAGCTTCCTATATTTTAGAAGTCTTTGCTAGTGAGTTTACTGGCTTCTGGCACTAACAAATGGGAGTATTGCACAGGCATAATAAGCCAAGATTGAGGCACACAATGGATTAAAATTTACACTGCAGTTTGGTTTGTCTGGTTGGATTGCCGATATGGCAATCTGTTCTATGAGGCTTCTGTTGGTATATAGTTCTGGCATAAAAGTCCACATGCCTGGATTGTGATTGTGGTGCATATGGGTTGAAATTCTATGTTGTGCTTCTAAATACAACACGGTAACTTCTAAAAACAATTTTCTTGTTTCATGTAGCTGTATTATCAAGTCTTAAATTTTGCTATGATAGTGTCTTCTGCCCTTATGATATGGAAAGGGCTGATCGTCGTTACTGGAAGTGAAAGCCCTATTGTTGTGGTGCTCAGGTAAGTCAATGTAAAGGCTTTTTTGTAAAGTTTGTTAATTTCTTTTTTTTTTTTTTTTTTTACCATGTGTATATTTATTTTAAAATTGTATCACGGCAGAACTCCTTTTATGAGTAAATTATACATGTGTGTGGCTTTTCTCTCAGCGGTATCTTCTGGTATATAAAGAGCCAGTCCTGCAGGCCCCTGAGTGCTGATCAAATACATGAAGTTAAACACATGTTCATGGAAGATTCAGCCTTACAGAAATTGAATGTGTGTCATCAAGGAATGTGTGCAGTAATTAAGAGTATTTTAATGGGAATTGTCTGTTTGTGTTACTAGGGATGGGATCTGGAATCCTACCTTAATGGTTGTTACCAAAAGATACTATGGCTGGCTTTGGAAAAAAGGCATGGATTTTCTGATCATTAATAATAATCACTGATGTAAACGGAACTCTTGCTCATGTTAGTTATACTCTTTTTATGTAGATAAGTACTTCCTGTTGTACTGTGAAACTTTTTTTTTTTCATTAATGGATCTGTTTCGTAACAAGTGGCTCGTTTTGTTACTTTGTTCCTTCATCATAGCTACAATACTGTTACTTTTCTATATAGCTTGTTTCTTTCATTCACTGAGGCAGTAAGGAAGTGTTCTATGGGCTGGCTCAGCTTGGAACTTACTGAGGTTTGGGTTGTGTTAAACGTCTGTGTAGTGTTGCTGAATGGGCGAAGCTACAGATACTGTTTAAAATTATGAGTTTATCTATAAGAATTAGATGTTCTTTGTTTTCATAGTTCTTTCATTTACCACAATGTTAATAAACTCTCTCTTTCTTCTTGTTTGTAGTGGCAGCATGGAACCAGCTTTTCACAGGGGAGACCTGTTGTTCTTAACAAATTTCCATGATGACCCAATCAGAGCTGGTGAAATAGTTGTTTTTAAAGTTGAAGGCAGAGACATTCCAATAGTTCACAGAGTAATCAAAATACATGAAAAGTAATGCAACTTGGCATTTTCCTTGTTTGTAAATATAGTTTTCTTCAACATGACTTTCAATTACATTTTAATTTGGTAGTATTTTATGAAAAAGACAAGTAAGGATACAAGGAGATGAAACTCATCTCTAGGATGTGATCCACCTTTATCCCCAATTCTGTGGCACATTACTCAAGGCCCTGACTTCTGTCCCTCTGCTGTCCCTCAGTGAAGTTGCTCGTGTTTGAAGTAGGTAAACCTGTGCCAAAGGAGTCCTGTAACACAAGCTATACACGTTACTTTTGCCAGCAGTAGCACTATGTATGGGAGCAAAGTCGACTGCAGTACTGACTGTTGTAGAATTGGGATTTTGGTTATGAGAAATAGCTACTTCTGAAAGCAAATCTCTGAAAGAAGGTGAAGATTCAATCAGAGCTGTAGATGAAGTCTGACAAGTATGTGATCTTTGCTAACTGAAGTTTTCCAGAAAAGAAATTTGACTCAGAATAAAAGAAGAGATTCTTACTCTTTTTGTGTCTGTTAGTCACAATGCCAACAACCATTCATGCTGAAAAGCAACAGGTAGATTACTTATTTTTAACTTTATTGCATATGCCTGGTATGATAAACAGTTCCTTCTCAAACAAAAGAGAGGCAATTCTGTTTCTAATTCTGCACAGCAAAAAGCTAAGCTGGAGGTGGCAAGCGTTGACATATTTGCTCCTCAGGAAGTCCTGGCCATGAACTGAAGGTGTTTATCTTTCGAGTAATATCTGTTTTTCAACGCTTATTTTGAAACAAATATGTACATCCAAGAATTACCTTTTTTTTTTTTTTAATACCTAATTTGTCTTCATAAAAACTCCTTGTTTCTTAATATCATTACTTGCAATTAACAGCTTCTTGAGAAAAATAATTTTGAAGGCAGTAAACTTAATAACTTTATTTAAATGATGGTGTTGAACCAAAGTCTTGCATGCATCATCTGCACATATGCCTAATGCTTGAAAGGGAGTGAAACATGGCAGGTTTTCTAACCACAGTGGTTAAATTATATTGTGTTCAAGGTGTAGAGTAAGATGCTTTGATCATTTGAAACAGTGGGGAAAGGTCATGGCTTGGGCATGTTCAAGGTTTTAAACCTCTAGTCCACCAAAAAGAACTGAGCCTCTTCTGTGGCTGGGGGAAGTCGTGCCATCCACTCCTGCCCTAGGGAGCAGCCTGGCTCCCCGAGCTCTGCAGGCATTCACGGGGGGGAGTGCCGCCTGCTGAAGGGCTTCTGTCCCTTGAGTTGCTCCATGCAGTCCCCTAAAAACCCCACATAATATTTTGTCTGGATTATGTTATTTAAAGTCTGATTACTTGTTGGTTTGGTTTTGTTTTTGGTTTTTTTTGCCACATTAACAAATATCAAACATAAGTGAAGTTTTGCCTGGAACTCACTACGTTTAATGATGAGTGACCTAAAACTGTATTGCAGTGTCAGTGACAAAATACTGAATTTGATGCAGACTTGCAGCTACTTCAGAGGGTCTTCAATATTTATTTCCATTGAAAGAAGGACAAAGCTTTATTTTGACATAAGTGTGACCACTAAGAGTTAAGCAGGTGTATAGAACTTGGAAGAAAATTGCCTCAAAGCATTGTATTATTATAACACTTTATTTCCTAAGGGTAGATTTTTAGGGTCTATCTCATCTGAAATTTGTGATTTAAATTCAGTCTTTAATGTGTCATGACTTCACAGGATCTTATTCCACAATTTGTAAGAAAAGAAAAACAAAGCAGAACCAAAACCATGGAAAACTCTTAAGCGGAGTATTATTCAGTATTTCAGAGTTAAATTTCTGTTCTGTTGAAAACACAGAGGATTGTGGGTTTTTTTTTCCCAGATAGGCACTTACTGCTTTTGTTGAGAAAGTTTAGTGCCTGTTCTGGGTGGACAATATCCCTTTCGTGCCCACTGTGTAATTGCTTACATCCAATGACAATCTAGGAGTGTTTTTAAAACCGTTTCTTGTTAAAATCAATTGACTCTGTCAGTAAAGTCATTAATGTTAATGATTTAATGGTGCTTGTTAAATAAGCAGGGCAAGCAGGACTGGAAGTAAACATTGTTATCTAATCTTGTAGCACTTTTCATTGTGTTTTGTAGATGTTAATTAAGGTTTTTAAATTAAGTGGTATTTAGTTTATCACCTCGTTGCCTTCTAGAGAAAATGGGAACATCAAATTTCTGACTAAAGGTGATAATAATGAAGTTGATGACAGAGGCTTGTACAAAGAAGGTCAGAACTGGCTAGAGAAGAAAGATGTTGTTGGAAGAGCAAGAGGGTAGGTAATGCAAAATGTCTGTTATTTTCAGTTAAATATAAAATTTATAATTTAAATCAGTTCTGATGTTTATACAAACTAGATCTGGTATAGTATTTTGTTAATTTCTTAAATAAAATGGTAAATTTAAAAACTGCTTTACCTGTAAAAGTTGCTTTTTGTAGTCCTCTCACTGGTGTGGAGAGTGGAAATTAATTTTTCAAAAAATGGCACATTTAACAAATAATTCACTAGTAGATACAAAATTGACTAAGTTGTCTTTTGAATTGCTAGAAATTACTAGGAAACTATTTCCACATCCCACAGGAATTTTAGGCAGGGTTTGAGCTTTTTACTTTATCCTTTTTCCCAGTTGAGATGAAATATCTTAAGATTTTTCTCAAATAATTTGATTAAAATTTTATCTAAGGACAAAAAAAAATATTTCCATTCGGATATACATTAGTGACAGGCATAAATGATTGTTTTACACTAAAATATTCAAGACTGATTAACATTAAAACATTACCATATAATATTTGAGAGTTAATTTTACATTCATCTGTTTTGTCAATTACAGATTTTTGCCCTATGTTGGTATGGTAACGATAATAATGAATGACTATCCAAAATTTAAGGTATGTATGCAGATGTTTTGAATACTTTAATTTAAAATTATAAAATAGCGAGTAAAGATAGTAACAATCTTGTATCTAAGAATACATGTTCATTTTGTTTCTGTGATTTGGTACCTGATGTAAAATGAGCTGTGTTTTCTTGCTTATTTTAGCTTGTCTGTTATTAAGTAGAACTTAGTATTTGTAATAATTTGAAACCATTTAATTTATAGGAGTTTAATAAGATAAGTGTATATGATTGTGATGCCTATTTATGATGAATATGATCACATCAAAATAGTTCTGTAATTCTGTAGGAATACCACTCTATAATTGTGTACTCGCCTATTGTTAGAGAGGGCACACTTTGAACAATTTGTAATTTCAGAGCTTCTATGAAGAGAAATTATAATCAGTCTTCATTCTTTGTTTTCTTTTGCAGTATGCTCTTCTGGCAGTAATGGGAGCATATGTACTGCTGAAACGTGAATCCTAAAAAAAAAGTCACTTTTCCAAGAGCAAAGTACCCAGTTAAATATACAGAGGGAAAAAACATAATATATTTCAGATGTTTTCATTTCTGGATGCAGTTACAAAACTACAAGCTTTTGTCATGTCTAAATAAACTGTACAACAAATGAGTAAAGGTTTTGGCTGTTCATTCATTCTGTAATGGCATATTTACTATCTTAAATAGATGCTGCTTTCAGTTAGCCTTTTGCTTGTTTGGAAGATGCTGACTGTCGTGCTGAAGCAGCTTATGGCACTCCTTGATACACTGTGTTTTTTCCTAAGTGGTTCTGCACCTGAGCCCACTTCCTCCTTCCTGTTTGTTAAATTTTTTATACTTGATTATTTCTGATGTCTGTCAGCTCCCTCTCTTTTCATGACCATACAGTTTTTATCGGTACTTGTAAGGACACAGCATATGGGTTGGGACAGGTAGTGGATTGTAGGATTTTTGTCAGGCTTGTGCCTAAAGAAAATTGTCTAGAGATGGCTGACAAAAATAGACAAGAAGGGGTCTTTCATTCTGATTAAGAACCAATAAATGGAAATTTGGAGCTTTTTCCTTGAATTTGAAACTTGCGCCTTTGTGGCATAGGGACAAAAAAACCTGATGGCCCAATTTTTTGAGAGGCCTGATTTTCAGGGACTGTGTATGGTTCTAGAATTCAGGCTGTTAACTATTCTGCCTTTATGTTCCTAGCTGTAAAACAAACATAACAAAAAGTTTTTATGGGGCTTTATTTTTATTAACACTTCTAAATTGCTGAATGAATAGCACAGTGATATTACCAATGAGGGCAAGACATAACTCCTATTCTGGTTTTGAGAATGTATTGTTCTCTCCTATCATGTGATACCTGAATAGTGTTAAATATAAAATTGATTTTTCATTTTAAAACTTACCTGATAACTGTCTTGTATTTAATTCTAGATTTTTCTCTTCTTGGCTTCAAATGTCAATGTTGTGCTTTCAACAAAGCAGAACCTGTTTTCCTCGCTTGCTTTGGTTTTGTAGCTTTGATAAGGAACAGCATGATGCTTTTTTCCTATGGAGTTTTGTTTCTTCTGCAATCCCTTACCTCTACAAAAATATACTATTATATAGTAATAGCACCTCTTCTGTTATAACAGCTAGCGCTGAAAGGCAGACAACTGCTGAATTTTTCCAAGTAATATTACTTCTTTTGTGTCCTACTAAGCAGTTTTCATGACAAACTGTATTATAAGATTATAAAATTGAATTATTTTGTGTCAAATTGTATAGAAATAAAATGGAGTGTAATAAATGGCATGTCAGAATAATTTAGGTATCCTTAATGCAGTCTTCCTGTAAGTGTGCCATCATGGTTAGGAAAAAATCATTTCATTTCTAGAGACAGTGTGTATGTAGTAAGATTTTGTTTTTGAAGGCGTTGGTTGCTTGGTTGTTTTTTTTCCTTCCCCCCCCACCCTTATTGCTGAAGTCAGAATTTATTCCTCTCCACCTACCCCAGTGCACTCACAGTCAGCTCTAACTTTGAGGGTAGGATTTAGGCCATAACCCAAATTACAAATTTGACCATTATTGTGGGAATTTATTCTTGTGTTGAGGAAACACGTATTAATAAAAAGATGCAAAGATAACACCTAATTATGTGGATTCATGGTCAGAAAAAAAAGGTTGCATGATATCCTGTGTCTTGTTTTAACTCTTCTAGATAAATCTTAACCTGCAGAATTGACATATGCAATGGTTGTCAAGTCTGCTTTTTTAGTGAAATGTGGGATGACAGTGTGGGCCCGCTTTGGCTGGACACATAGAGGTCTGCTACTTGCATCCACCAAAGCAACTTTGGTCAGCCACATACAATAACTTGTTCAACCATATAGGTATTCTACTTTCTCTTTTGTGGTAAGCAATAGCTTTTTTTTCAGCTATGATAAATCTTACATAAATACAAAAAGTTCCTGCCTGCATGGAAAAGGTGTAAAGAAGATGGAGCTAGACTCTTTGTCCTGGGTTGAGTGAGTGGTGGAGTTTTTTGGTAGCAGGGGAGGGGGCTATCGGGGCGGCCCCCTGTGAGAAGCTTCTCGAAGCTCCCCCAGCTCCACGTCAGCTCCACTTCTGTTTGGGAAATTGAGCCAATCGGCTGCGCCTCTGCGAAAACGTATTTAAGAAGGGACGTGGTGACGGGCAGTGGGACTGGTGAGGAGGAGTTGCTGCAGCTGCATGAGCACCAAGGTCAGTGGAGGAACGGAGGAAGAAAGGAGGGGGGAGGTGTGCCGGAGCAGAGACCCCCCTGTATCCTGTGGGGAGACAGCAGGGCGGCCCCCCCTGCCACACAGGGAGAGCTACGGTAGAGCAGACATTGATTTGTGGCCTGTTGCTCCTGCTCAGAATAATCAAGGTGCTGTGCCCGAAGAAGGCCGGGGTCTCATGGGAAAAGGCAGCCCCGCTGCTGTAATTCAGTGCTGGGAGGATTGCAGCATGCGGGGGAGTCCCACGCCGGAGCAGCTCGGGAAGGGCTGCAGCCGTGGGAGAGAATCCAGTCGGAGGAAGTTGGTGACCCATGACGGAGCAGTGTGGGGAACGCTGCGGCCCGTGGGAGGAATTCAAGTCGGAGAAAGTTTGTGGAGGACTGTCTCCTGTGAGAGGGGGACCACGACGGAGCAGGAGGAACAAGTTCCAGACACTCCCCTCACCGAAGATGAAGGAAGTAGCAGCGCTGACTGCACCCCCCATTCCCTGCCCCTGCGCCACTGGGGGAGGAGGTAGAGATATCAGGAGCAGAGCTGAGCCCGGGAAGAAGGGAGGGGTGGGGGGAAGGTGTTCTCAAGATGGGGCAATGCTTCTCACTGTCCTACTCTGTTACGTGTTGTTAGTGTCTGTAATAAATGTATGTTCTTTTTTTCTTCCCCTAATGAGTCTGCCTTTTGCTCATGATCATAAAAGGGGGATTTTCCCCCATCCCAGTCCTATCTTGAACCCCAAGCCTGGCTCTCTGTCCCTTCTCATTGCCGGAGGGGAAGGGAGAGAGAGCTGCTGCATTGTGGTTGGCTGCCAATCAGGCCTAAACCACAACACTCTTCTCAGTGGTGCCCAGTGATGAGACAAGAGTCAATTCCATCTGAACACTGGAAAAAGTAATTTTTACTGTGCAGGTGACTGAACACTGAAACAGGCGAAAAACATGGTGAAACCACTAAAACATGGTATAGCTATTCTTATGTAGGAGAAGACTTTTTTTTTTTGCAGATTTAGGAATTTAATAATTTATAAAAAAGATTCTCTATAGCATTGCTGCTGTTCCCTGGCAAGGTTACCTTTTCTATGCAGAAATACATATAGTTTGATAACTGGTGGCTTCTTTTTCAGGCCTATCCGGTTTGCTGCCTGTGAAAGCTTAGAGACGACTCACCAGCAACTGGATGATTGGGTTGCGCTTGGTTCTGTTCTTGACTTTCATTCCCGTAACTGAGCTAGTTTAAGCCAACCATTTCCATTTCTGATGATCTAATTAGTGCTGCTTATTAATTTCCTTAGAGTAAAAGTCAGGGAGGAAAGGAGCGCATAAAGTTTTGCCCAAAATCTAAATTTCTGGTATAAACCCTTTCTTTCTGCTACATAAAAGTACAGAATCCTTTAGTCCTTAGGCTGATAAGCAATGATAAATGAGCTTTGATGGTGAAATGTGTATCGGGATAATGTTTCTCTGCTGTGAGGTAAATTGCTCTGTACAATACATGAATGATTTAATGTCTGCTTAATATTATTAGTGTTTACAGCAGAGAGAAGGCTTGCTGTTTGGTATATTTTATAACTGAATGTTACCAGCTTTTCCTGCTAGTCAGGCTGAGAACAAGTTTGAAGGTGACTTTACAGGTCGCAGCTGAACTTGCCTTTCAGCTCCTGTTGCTGCAGCCAGGCGATCCTCTTGCTGCAGCCAACATAGTCACGTATCTCTCTTTAAGTTCTCATGTTCAGTGGAGCCAACACAAGTTGTGGACCCAGGGGGAAGTTAGTTCTCTGCTGGGTTTGAGTTGAGCAGGCTCAACAAAGCATATGGGGAAAAAAACCAGAAGCGTGGTAGAGGCAAAGGAGGAGGAACAGGCTTAGCCTTTGGGAACAGTGAGCTGTTAGATTGTCCCAACTGCAGCATGTGACTTTGTGCTTAAAATTTAAAGATGATATGAAAATCCTTCAGTGTGTCCTGAGGAGAGCATCCAAGCTTGTGAAGGGCGGGCAGGCCTGTCCTCTGAGGGTTTGCCCCGTTTGGAGAAGAGAGAGGAGGCCGAGGGGCGACCTCCCTGCTGCCCGCAGCTCCCTGGGGAGGGGCCGTGGGGAGGGAGGTGCTGAGCTCTTCTCCCTGGGCTCCAGGGACAGCACGGCCGGGAACGGCTCCCACCCGCCTCTGGGGAGGCTCAGAGGGGACAGGAGGGAGCCTTTCTTTCCCGAGAGGGTGCTCCAACGGTGGAAGAGGCTTCCTGGCGAGGGGGTCAGTGCCCCGTGCCTGTCAGTACGTGAGGGGCGTTGGGACAGTGCCCTTGATGACAAGCTTTAACTTTGGTCTGCCCTGAAGTGGTCAGGCGGTTGGAGCAGATGATTGTTGTAGGTCCCTTCCAGCTGAACTGTGCTATTCTATTCCGTTCGTCTGTTTATCACCTCTAAAATAATTTGCAGCAAGGGCACAAGCCAGTCCCAAATTAAATTTATGTATATTGCTGCTCCTTGTGCTTCAAGCAGAATTTTACATACACTCTTCAGAGATAAGGGACAACCTGTGGTTGTGCATGTTTCAGTGGGTTATAGATGGGGCTGACGGTTAGAAAGAAGGGAGTTAAGAGCCTACATATTTGATGCATCAAGGTGCTTTCACTTTTCTACAAATACAACTCAATCCTTCAGTTGCCTTCTCTGCTTCTAGTCTGCAACTTCCCTTTGAAGTCAGGACAGATCAAGGATATAATTGTGGATCTACTGACTTATTAACTGGAGACAGTGCTCCATAGATCCTTGAGGCTGTGGTAACTGGTTCATCTCCACTCACATGTTACTTAGACATCAATACCCCCTGGTAAGGACGGCTAGCTTGGCTATTGGTGTGAAGTACTATGTATGCATTGTGTCACTGGAAAAAAGAAAAGAGCGTTT